TCTACCCAATAGTCGGCATCTTCAACATCATCATATGGCTCCTTATTTGGCTCCACAACTGTCTCTTTATGAACATTCTTCCTAACCCCACTAAATTGGACATTACTACCCTCACTAGTATTCACCACACCTTGCCTACCTATATGAACTTTACCACCCTCATCTTTATTAATATTCGACTAATCCCATTTCAATGGATAACACTATCTTCATCTTTGTTAACATTCGACTAACCTTACTTAAATGAATAGCACTACCCTCATCTTTATTAACATTCGACTAACTCCACTTAAATGGATAATACTATCCTCATCTTTATTAATATTCGACTAATCCCACTTAAATGAGCGATACTACCCTTACCGAGTATTCACCACATCATGCTTACCTATATATAGACTTTACTACCTTCATCTTGTTCCATGATACCTACTCTACATCCACCCAATATTTAGCATCTTCAACATCATCACATGGCTCTTTATTTGGCTCTACAACTTGTTTCTTTATAAACATTACGCCTAACGCCACTAAATTGGACATTAATACCCTCACTAGTATTCACCACACCTTGCCTACCTATATGAACTTTACCACCCTCATCTTTATTAAGATTCCGACAATCCCACTTAAATGGATAACACTACCCTCATCTTTATTAACATTCGACTAACCATACTTAAATGGATAGCACTACCCTCATTTTTATTAACATTCGACTAACTCCACTTAAATGGATAACACTACCCTCATCTTTATTAATATTATGAATAATCCCACTTAAATGGGCGATACTACCCTTACTAGTATTCACCACATCATGTCTACTCGTATGGACTTTACTACCGTCATCTTGTTCCATGATACCGGAACCCTAACCTATATGGACGATACTACCCATAAAGCTGACACATTTATTTCTTTAATTTCATCATCATCTTTATCTTCCTACTCACAACTAGGGTTACCAACCTACTGCCTATGTTCATCGATTCCAAGCCTACTACATACACCTTTTGGGTTATCATAACCAAGTAAGGGGTTTATTGACTCTCTTTTCTCATAATATAAGTCAACAATAATTCCATCACACAATATTTTTTCTATAGGTAAACAACTAATAACATCCTTCACTTTCTTAATACTGCGTTCAAAAGGTAATTTAGGATCAACATCTTTATAAAACACTACCTTACACTTCTCATATCCATGTTCCTCGGCCATATCTAACAAACCTTTAAGCCTATTAAGTCGGAATCTATATTTTCTCTCTCGATAATCTCTTCGCACTAATAGACAAGGTAAGCCCTTTTCGAAATTCAACCTCAAAAGGAGCCTTAATTTAGACATTTCACTTAATACTATTATTGAGGAGACATAAAGGAAAACAAAGAAAAAAAATTATAAAGTATCCGGATAGATAAAACATAAATAAATACATAAAATCCATTGAATTTAATAAACAACAATATTGATAAAACTTATAACCGAACAAAACCAAGGTAAGATATTACTTTGCATAAGCCATTCAATTCAAAACCTAAAACCCATAACCGATAAAACTAAGATAAGCTAGTTTTTTCCATAAGCCATTCAATAACATACTTATAACCCATAACCGACAAAACCAAAACCCATGACTTTAAAACCAAGATAAGGTAGTGCTTTTCATAAGCGATTTAATTCAAAACCCAACACCCATAACTCGATAAAACTAAGATAAAACATGTTTTTCATAAGATATTCAATTCAAAACAACAATATTCATAAAAACCCATTCAAAATGCAATCAAATTGCAATTAAAATCTTACAAAATATTACAATTGTTTACCTTATTAACCCCGTACAAACTGATAAAGATGCTAGAAAAAGATGCCTAGTCGATTATACTACTAATATCCTCCTTCACTAATAAATCATGATGAACAATTAGTGTTCTTCTTATAATTGAGAAATAATAAGACAAAACAGACAAAGAGAAGAGATTATTTACCCGATTAACCCTATACAAACGAGATAAAAATGCCAAAAGAGGATGCCTAGTCTAATACACTACAAATGTCATCCTTCACTCGATCGATCATGATAAACAATTAGGGTTTTTCTTAAGGTTGAGAAAGGAAAAGATGAAACACACGAAGACAATATGAAATAGAGAAGATGAAAGAAATCTTGTTAGGAGGGAAGACGAAGAGGGGAAGAATTTCAAATGAAGAAATTTTAAACAATCTTGTCAATAAGGAAGATAAAAAGAAAAAGAATTATAAATGATGGTATGTGTTGATAAATCTAATGTCCGTTCGTTTGGTTTATTCATTTACTTTAGGATTAAATGGGTTGGGTGAATTAGGTCTTTTCACCTTTTTTTTTTTAATTTACAAAACCATTTATAAATTTTTTTCATTTTTGTTTTGGTTTATACTTGACATGATAAATGGCCATATTGCCATGTATCATTGTGTGATTAGTCACCTGTTAGTTTTAACTTTCCATGTAAGATTAACGATTAAGCGTGTCATAACCGAGGGTCTCGATCAACAAATTTATAAGAGCATAAGGTTTCAATCAAGTCGAAAAGTATTAGAGGGTCTCGATAAAAAAAATGGAAGCGTGTAGGGACCGATTAAGGGGTAAACCCATTGTATAATATACAAGGAGCAAGTTTATGATTATAATAACTCGTTAATTGTTATTCTTTTCTATCATTATTGTATTTGCTTGCTTGGTGTCAAATAAAATTAACAATGTCTTTATAAAATGACAATTATACTTATACTTTCGGCATTTGTGATGTATATGTGAAAGAACATTCAAATCCTATCAATAGCTTGATACATCCGTTAGAACAACGAGGATCAAATCCTCTTAATCCATATGAATATGGTTGGTAAGAATTTGCATTTTGTCATTGGTGAAATGGAGATGCACATCTTTAATAGCCTATTTGCTTAACTTTTTTTTTCTTATATATTCTCCACTTCAACAATGTATTTAGCCTTAGTACCAAACAAATTTAAGAATGTGCAATAGTTTTTGTTTAATTATGAAATTATATAAAGAACTTCATAAAAAATAGCCCACACACCTACAAAGAAGTGCATATAGTATTACTAGTTGATGCGTTACATATGGATCATTTGTGCGTTGAACCAAAAGATTATGTCTTATGTAAAAGAATTTATATCAAAATTAGCTACTTCATTAAGAGAACACCAATTCGTATATTCCCCCCTTTAGAATTAAAGAAACTCTATCTCTCACTCCTTCAATACAAACCTTATCCTTAAATTTCTCTTATTAAGAATTCTCTCGGTCTAATATAAAACCCATCTTTCAATTTCTCTAATCCGATTCTTTAATTGCTCGATTCGTGATGTAAATTTTAGAAAGACAACTAATGAATAGATGCATAATGAAGTTAAACAATTGAGTCATGAAAATAGAAAATTGATGAAGCTGAATAAAAGATGTGAAAGCCAAAATTATGAGATTGATGGTTGAATCTCATGTTTTAAGTGCTAAAAAAGGACAATTGGATATAGAATGGCGGAATTGCGGAAAAAATATGTTGACAATCTTTTAGGCTTACAAAGAAGCATGAGGTTTTTAAAGCATTATTCTCTATTTAGGGTTTGTTCTTCTTTAATTTAGAAAGTATGTGGTTGTTTATGGAGTTTAGTGTTTAAGAATTTAGAGATCAAGTATGTTTTAGAAGAGGGAGCGAAAGACTTTCTTTAACTCTTAAAGGAAAAATAAATGATTTATTGATCACTTAATGAATTAAGGTCGATATTACACATGTCACAATCTTTTGATTTGATGTATGTATGATCGACATATGTGCCTCTTCTAATGTAATTTAATGAAAATGATTGTTTAATGGCGGAATAAATTAGAAAAAAAAACATGGTATCAAGGCACAAATCAAAATAAATTATAAATTAGTTCTTCTCTTTTTGATAAATGAATTAATTAGTCTTTTTAATTTTAAAACCTAATTATTTAATTTTTTTAACCAAGTATTGACCATATTTAATTTAATATTTTTTATTTTATAAAATGCATCCTCTTCTCATCAATTTTTTCATAATTTTTACTTATTTTTTATTTTCTATTTCTTCAAAAAAAAAAATCAAAATAGATAAAAATACTAAATGATTGGATTTTGAAACCAGAAAGACTAATTTATTTATTTTTAGAAACTATAGGGACTAATTTATAATTTACTGGGCACAATCACAATCCATGGAAAAACAAGAGTGGAAGGGCAAAACCAGTCACTAACCCTGAGAAAATTACCATGCTAGATTTATTTGAAATGGAGAGTGGTGTGGTTAAGTCAACCCAGGCGGAGCAAAAGCTGCACTGCGCTGAGTCACCGAACCTCCATATTGGGCCCAGCGAAGAGTTCCATTTATAAATTCTCAAGGAGTTAAACCGCTGCCGATTCAGTTTTCTTCTTCACTGCCTACAGGCTACAGCCCATCTGAACGCGAACAAAGTACACACAGTCCATCGTAACAGATTGCAAGATCCACAGGTATCTTTTCTTCCTTTCCTTCTTTGATCTGATTATGCACGCCCCCATCTCTTCTGCTTAGTCTTATGCTTTGTTTCCGGGAAAATGTGGGTTTAGAAATTAGCTTTAGTTCTCTGTCTGTTGTTGTAGCTTGTTGATACATTAATTATGGTGATACTTGATTTTGATTTGGAGTGTTTAACCAGTTTCTGATTCGAAGAAACTTTGGTTTTGTACACGTGGAGAAATTTAAGCATTTGGAGTTCGATTTGTGTGTTTTATTGGCCCAATTTGAAGTAATTTGCTGCTTCTTTCTCTCCCATGGGTTGTGGAAACTTAGCCCTTCTTGGCTTTCTTCTTCTTCTTTTTCTTTCTTAACTCTTTCTCGATTTAACTGAATCTGTTTCGTCGGTGGATCTGATAGAGGTTGGTTCTGAATTTGAATCGAAGGAATGGGGTGAAAATCTCTAAACTAACTTCATGATCTCTTATCTCTTTCTGTGGTCAGTTCTCTCTCAGATGTCTGATGATGCGGAGAATGCTAAAGCTGTCGAGGACCAGAAAATTATAGGAGCCTCCTCTCCTGCTAATGAAATCCAGGCAACCTGGTATAGTGGCTTACTCAAGCAAACATCCATCTATGGCGTAGCTGCTGGATATTGCATCTCAGCATCTCTGCTCTCCATCATCAACAAGTGGGCTATCATGAAATTCCCCTATCCTGGGGCGCTAACTGCATTACAGTATTTCACTAGTGCCACAGGTGTACTCATTTGTGGGTGGTGCAAGGTTGTAGAGCATGACTCACTCGACCTTTTGACCATGTGGCGGTTCCTACCTGCTGCCATTATGTTCTATCTGTCACTCTTTACCAACAGTGAGCTCCTACTCCATGCTAATGTTGATACCTTTATCGTCTTCCGTTCCTTGGTCCCCATTTTTGTTGCAATAGGAGAGACCTTGTTTCTACACCAGCCATGGCCATCGTTGAAGACATGGCTGTCGCTTGCCACCATCTTTGGTGGAAGTGTGCTATATGTGCTAACAGATTACCAGTTCACTGTTATGGCTTACAGTTGGGCTCTAGCTTACTTGGTAAGCATGACAATAGATTTTGTCTATATCAAGCATGTTGTTATGACCATTGGTTTAAATACATGGGGTCTCGTGTTGTACAACAATCTTGAGGCCCTCCTACTCTTTCCCCTGGAATTGCTTATAATGGGGGAGCTTAAGAAGATAAAGCATGAAATTTCAGATGAGTCGGATTGGCACTCTTTTGGGGTGGTTTTGCCAGTTGGTTTATCTTGCTTGTTTGGTTTAGCCATCTCTTTCTTTGGGTTTTCTTGCCGGAGAGCAATCTCTGCTACAGGATATACTGTTCTTGGTGTAGTGAACAAGTTGCTGACAGTTGTAATCAATCTGGTTATTTGGGACAAGCATTCAACATTGATTGGGACAGTGGGACTTCTTATTTGTATGCTAGGTGGAATTATGTATCAACAGTCCACGAGCAAGCCTAAGGCTGTGCCTGAAGTAAAAGCAGAGCAAACTGATGAAGAACAACAGAAGCTACTAGAAATGCAAAGCAACATAGAAAGCGAGAATAACGAGAAGGAAGTTACTCAATCAAATCAGGGGAAATGAGGTGTGCTTTGTGTAGCGACTTCTGATTAACTATCAGGGTGAAGTTTTTCTAATTATTAAATGGTTGGAATAGCAAATTCTCATCTTAGCAATCTTGATGGTTTGTGCTTAAACAGAATGTTTCTAGCTGGAAATCAGGGTCCCTTGATATTGCTTCTTTATGCACCCTATCTGCAGAATTTAACCTGAAAAAGCAGATTGGGTGGAATGCTACGTTCTTGTTAGAATACCTCCAGATATCCAAATAGTCACACAGCAGTAATATTCTGAATTCCAAGTTCCTGCAGGCTGAAATGCATCCAATGAAGTAGAGATAACTTAATTGATTGTGGTATTTTTTGGTTACAAAACATTAATCTTTTTTCGTTGTTTTTTGTTTTTTTTTGGGCAAATGTTAGGACTTTTGTCAAAGATAGAACTTCATTCAAAGGCCAGACCCTGGCATCTGCCTTCAGCATTACGATTGGCCGAGGGTTGGTCATACCTTGTATCTCTTTTCTTTTCTTTCTTGTTTACGGATAATCCATTACCTGTATTTCTTAAAACAACAATTACCTGAATCATTTTGCTTCCTCCTTGTGGGGCTTCATTTATCCCAATCATAACGTATCTTTTTTCCCCCTGCTTTTTAATTGATATGTGTTTACTTGGAGTTTTCAGTGCTGCTCGCTAAAATGTAGCGTGTCACAGACTCGTTCAATGCAGGGGGTGGTGGGGGTTTAAGGTAAAAGAATTGAGATGATAAACATCCAAAATATGATCGTGCTTTCCTTCTTGAGGCTCTTCAATAGAAGATAGGTAATAGGAAAAAAAAACATAAAAGATAAATATTAATATAACCTCAATTTGAGCCCATTTTCGCATTAAAAAAATAAATAATATGCTCCTCCCAAAAAAAAAAAAAGGGAAAATCTATGTGCATGTTTCCTGACTGGAACAGAAAGCTAAAGCAACTACCAAAGTTTCAAGAACTCAAAACAGCGAGTAATAGAGAACCAATTCGACCGTCTCTTCTTGGAGGACCTCAAGATCGTTTCCCTTCTGTAATGTTCGAGCACATCTTCCTTGTACGTCAAATCTTTGACGTCCAGAAAATCATCTGTACCATATAATGCATCTCCTAGCATATCACGATTTGAGTAGTAGTAGTTGCAAGATACACTGCTACTACTGTTTATTTGTTCCACCGATGAAGAAGATGACAAAAATAAATAAATATTAGAACAAGGAATCAAGGCTTCACCGCCTCCTCTGCTGCAATCACCACCATTGTCACCACAGCTTGGAACTCCTCTCGCCATTGGTGAAACAGCCCAGAAGAGATACCAGTAAATAAAGAAAAGAGGCAGTAATGATGATATTATAGGCAAATGAAAGTAAAATCAGTGCACCAAAAAGATAATTTAGTTTGTCAGGTAATGAGGCATCTATTTTGGTATCTAAAGAAGTCCACTCGTCCTTAAATTGTAAGTCACGAGTTTGAGAAAAAATACATATAGAAAACTAGATATACTAACATTGAAGATAAGACAATGAGGGAAAATAAATAAATAAAATCATTTATATTTTTTCTTTTTTTAGTTTGATTCAATCCTGTGTAGAAAGCTAATCCAACAAACAGGATTAATATTAAAAATTACAAACGACAAAGGAAGCATCCTACATAAAACATCGCAACTCCAGTTCCTAGAAAAATTGAGATAAAACATATCCAAATATATTCAAATCAAATGGATCGTAAACTTTCCAAATTTGAAAGTCAAGAAGAGAGAGGCTTTTTTTTTTTTTTTTTTTTTTGGATATGGTAAATATGATTGTATTATGAAGAATCTAAACTTCCAGCACAACAAGGAATTCTGCAGTTTTTAGTGAAATGTTTAGGAAATCATCAACAACTTTGTAAATCAATAAAATTACTTTACGTCCTCTTCTTTTAATTTCAAAGGCCAATCAATCCCGACTGCTCACCCTAGCCTCATTCAGATTATGAGGCAACAAAGTTCCTTGTTAGGCCATTCAATATATATATATATATATATAATTCTTCTCGCTTTTTTATTAATTTTATGATAAATTTCCATTGGTTTGGATTTTTTAATTTAAAATTTCTTTTTTATATATGTATTTTTATTTTTCAAGCAACCATTTATCCGTCAATACACAAATTTTTAACACGTGCCGCAAGATTTAACGGAATTGGATGGAAGATAGAGTCCTTAACAGAACATATAAGTAATAGAAGGATAGCATATAAAAAAAGTGTACAAGGGCAAAATCCATAAAAATAAAAATATAAGGACAAAACGTGCCATTAACCGAGGTTATCTGAGATTGCTAATTTCAAAATTTACTTTCCATTGAGAGGTACCATAAAGCAACATAGAGATTACGTCCTTCATAAATCAGCAAGCAAACTATAAGCACGTTGCCAAACATCGAATAAATGAAAAACGTGTTACACAAATACTTTGTTGCGAAATAAATACGCACATTAATATATCTTGATGTAACGAGCAAGGGGGAAAAACATGCGTTTTAAAGTAAGAAACTCCAAATTATCTGACGAAAGTCCATATCTAAATAAGATTCCTTACTACATGTGATTTCAACCTCCTAATCTGGCTAGCAGTAGCAAGGAATAACATGTCTGACCGTTGCTTCCTCATTTAATTGCCAGTTTGCCACTTTTTGGTGAGACTAGAGAACATAGCTTTGGCAATGTCTATCAGGTTTGATATTCTTGGTACCATACGAAATAAACACTTTATTACCATCATCCACATCGTTTGTGGGGGTTTGGTGAGACTAGACTCGGAATGCAGGAAGTGCCTTAAGGCAATCCCTCTGGCCATGTACAGCAGGGTTCTTAAAGGTATCATTCTTGGTCCGATCATTATAAAGTAATTAACAACAGCCCATTAAAAGGGCTTCTCATTCTTATTCAAATGAATGTTTGTGGTGTTTGGAAAATTGGTTCAGGCCGACCTCATTTATGGCTCATTCTTATTCAAACCCAAGCTTAGCACATGCTTGAAAGGCTTCTTCATAACTTTGTATCATAGCTTTAACATTCCCAAATAGCAGTTTGTTATTCATAATTTCAAATCAGAATCACCTTTAAAGCTGCACCACCACAGCCTCCATTTGAAATCTGTTCTCCTTAACTTATCATAAAATGAAATACAGATTATTGACAACATTTTCTTTAAGTGTCCAAAGACATGTTTAAGCACGTGAACGAACAACGAATTATCCTTCCCAGATGAATAATTTCTCTGGGACAGTTAATCTCAGTTGATACAGCTTTGAAGCAAACAAAACTAACAGGATCGCTGGTGCCTGAGGTCAACTAACCACCACACTATTCGGTAGTTTCTTCATTTATTTCAAGATGTTCACCAATAAAGCATTCCCTACACAGAAGAAAGAAAACCCATTATTGCTAAGGTAACAAACCTAAGAAATTTATAGCACATAGAATTAGAAACAGCTAAAGAGAAACCTAGAAACAAGTCGCATCTAAATACATTCACGACCTCTCAAAAAGGTGTGCTTGTAATGTCTGAGCCTACTCGATGTTGCTGGATGTTTTCACCTGTCAGACTATGCAACACTACAATTTAGCATCTGAGTGATTTTATCTTTCACGTGCTAGAAAGGGCAGAATTGCAAAAAAAATAAAAAAATAAAAATGTAACAAGATCCTTATGTTTAAGGGCGTTCTTCCTACACAGTTGTGATAAAATGTCTTAGAAAGTTGTTTGCCCAGCAACTAGATAATACATATCTAGTACTGCTGTAATTTATTGCTACAATAGCTACTATGCTCTACCAAGAGAAACAGAGAGATGTCCCAATTACAAGGATGTGCTATTGTCTTAGGCAAAAGTATCTTTATCTATCCACTTCACTACATGCAAACAAATCCACCTTGGATTCCATTAAAAAGATTAGTAGCTCTTGCCAATCCTCAAAACACTATTTGTGCATTGTTTTGGTTTGGGGGAGGGCGAGGATTTCAGAGGATTTTTAAGGGCTGGCATGTGAAAGCTAGCAAAGACACTGCAGGCAACCTTATTTCCATTATGTACTTTTATCATTGAAGTACAGAATGCATCATCCATTATCGTTAAAGGGGGTGTGATGCAGGAAAGCTTAGAGGCTGTTCTAGATCTGATTTTTGGAGGTTTAGGAGTGTTTACGGTTGTATTGAAGTAGGTTTCTCTATAATAGGGTTATTAAGAGTCACACCTAAGAGGGGGATTGAATCACACAATCAAAGAAAATTGCTGAAAATTATTTGATATTATTGCATTCTAACTATGAAAATACTACATGTGGTATTTATAGAGTTGTAGAAGTCCAAATCCAACTAAGAAAAAAATTCATAAACCTCCAACATAACTATTCCTATTCAGAATAGGCAATCCTATAACTATTCCTATTTTAGAATAGGAAAACATAATAATTTTAGGATCAACAAAATACTTAAAACAAAAATATTGTAATTTCCAGATTTTCCAGCAGAACTAAAATTACTAAAATGCATTTATCAATTAATCAAGCTCCCAACTAAGTTTTTTCCATCATTAGCCATCTGCCAAATCAGTGCTTGACCATTGGAATTATTCTTAGATGGTCTTCGAAAGACTTTTGGGGGCTGCTGCCAACAGGCCCCGTCAGGGTGGAGGGCATAGGAACCCGTATACTTCCTTCCTTATCCCTGCATAAATGGGATGTTGATATTTTGTACCAGTTGGAAGGAATTCAAGATAATGAAAAACCTTTCTAATCCACTAAAACAAGGTTTCAATGAAGATCAAATAGTTCGTTCCCCTCTTCCCCCAATCCCCTTCAAAATATATATATATATATATATATAATCCTATACATATTGCAAGAAGGCTGTTTGAAAAATTTATCCTTCCTTCACTTCTGCATGCCTTCCTTATTTATGTTGTTCTTCTTCAAGAATAAAAACAGCCATAACATTGTCCAAACAGGGAAACAAGAGACAACCATTGTAGTGATGTTTCCACATTCCTACATGCCTAGCACAAATCAGTTTTTTTTTTTTTTCTCCAAAAAAGTACTGCTTAATTTGAATAAACAAGGAAAAAACTTGACCCTTAATCTGCCCGTACTTTACAAGCTTTTATCTAGGGCATTTCTAACTTTGTGACAATAATCACAACCACCCATGTATATTAATGAACCATACAGGACAACATCATAATATGTTATCTTGTTAGTCTACTTGAGAAGAATAAGATGCAAGTAGAAACCTGTATAAAAATCTTAAGCAGCAGCCTCCAGTAATTCCCTCTCTGCACGCTCCTTAATCCTTCTCTCAAGCTCTGGCCTAAAATGCCTTATGAGACCCTGCACAGGCCAAGCTGCAGCATCACCCAATGCACAGATAGTGTGGCCTTCAATCTGTTTGGTCACCTCCTGAAGCATATCTATCTCTTCCAACTTTGCATTCCCAACCTTCAACCTTTCCATGATCATCCAAAGCCATCCTGTTCCCTCCCTGCATGGAGTGCACTGTCCACAGCTCTCATGCTTGTAGAAGTAAGACAGTCTTGCAATTGCATCCACGACATCAGTAGATTTATCCATCACAATAACTGCTGCGGTCCCCAATCCTGATGTGACGGCCTTAAGTGCATCGTAATCCATAAGCACATCATCACATATGTGCTTGGGAAGCAGAGGGACAGAAGAACCACCAGGTATTACAGCAAGTAAATTGTCCCATCCACCTCGAACACCTCCACAGTGCCTCTCTATTAACTCCTTCAGTGGTATGCTCATCTCCTCTTCAACTGTGCAAGGCTTGTTCACATGACCTGACACACAAAATAATTTTGTCCCAGAGTTGTTCTTTCGGCCAAAACTTGCAAACCACTCTGGACCGCGCCTTAAAATGGTGGGAGAGACAGCCACTGTTTCCACATTTGTAACAGTGGTGGGGCAACCATACAGCCCAGCATTAGCTGGGAAAGGAGGCTTCAATCTTGGTTTCCCTTGTTTCCCTTCAAGGCTTTCCAAAAGCGCTGTCTCTTCACCGCAAATATAAGCACCAGCACCATAGTGGATATGGACATCAAAATCATAACCAGATCCACATGCATTCTTGCCCAATAGCCCAGCTTCATAAGCTTCTTTTCTGGCTCTTTCCAGGTTTATTCGTTCATTCACATATTCACCCCTAATGTAGATATATGCAGCAGTAGCTCTCATTCCAACCCCAGCAATCAAGCAGCCCTCTAAGAGCTTGTGTGGATCATGCCGCATGATTTCCCTGTCTTTGCAGGTTCCAGGTTCACTTTCATCGGCATTGACAACAAGATAGGAAGGGCGACCATCAGATGTTTTTGGCATAAATGACCATTTGAGGCCAGATGGGAAACCAGCACCACCACGTCCTCGGAGGCCAGACTTCTTAACTTCATTAACAATCCAGTCAGTACCTTTGAGCACCAAGTCCTTAGTTCTATACCAGTCACCCCGTTTCATGGCACCTTTGAGGAAAGGGTCATTCAATCCATACAAGTTGGTAAAAATTCGGTCCTCATCTTTGAGGCCCCCAAAATGGGTTTTCTCCGGAGGTGGGGGAGGTGGCGGTGGCTGAGGAGCACCAGCATTTGATGCAGCTTGGGTACTGAATGACCTGAAGCCAACTCCTAGCCTATCACTTTGGCGCTGCACCAAAGCCGCTCTTTGCAAAGAAAAAATACCCCTAATGGGTGCCTACGCAAAATACCAAATATCAGCATATGCTGCAACATTATGAACTTCCTATGTTAATTCAAATACCCAATGTAATATCTACATCCACTACATGTTTTCTTAAGCATTCAATTCACAACCAAACAAACATCCACTTGATTGTGTGAACACTAACAAGTACAGCTGAAAAACCATCAACGAAATGTGATACACCGATCCAAGAATAGAACTCAAATAAATACCAGTCAAGCCCGTGCCCGTGCCAGAACTACAACAAGGTAAGGCTGGTAACAACCAAAAACAACAAATTCCACCACAAACACAAACAAAATTTAACTTCGAAGATCATGAATTCAGTAATTTCGTTTTACAAAATTCTTGAAATTTTGACTAAGACATACAAACAAATAACAGAATTACCTATATACTAAGCACGCAACCAAAAATAAACTATCCCAGAATTGCTATGATAGTCGTTTAATTAAAGCTTCTGAAAAAAAAAAAAAAAAAAAAACCAACTAAAGCAAACCAGTTTTCGAAAATCGATCATAGACTCTACTGAAACATGATTATGTAAAGCAATTAAGAAAAATCAGGGAAACCCTAAGACAGTGAGAAATGAATTTAAGGAAAGAAAAAAAAAAGGACAGAGATAGCTTAATACCATAGCAAGAAATGTAGCAGGCGACCTGTTATGATTCGAGTCGATTCAGCTACAATAAATCCTGACGAGAAATGAATTACAACTAAGAATATATATCGAAATCCTATTGTCAGAAAGTATGCAAGATGGACGGCGATGATCTTCGATCTTAATGGGGGTTGCTTGTGATGACCACGGGTAACACGTAGCAGAGACACCCGACTGCTGTGACTGTGATTTAGTACCAGAAAATCAACTGTTGTGATTCTTGGATCATTTTTATGATGCCCTGCGTTTCGGATTAGGCCTGGGTCCGTATCACTATCTACAAAGCTCGACTTTTTTTTTTTTAACACAAGCCCAAGCCCAGCGACCTTTTATCGTAAAATAGCTCAGATCCAAGCCCAGGTAATGCCTTATTTTATTTATCCTTCTCTTTTTCCTTTTCTCTATAATTATTTTACAGGAAAATATACTCATATGTCCTTATATAATATCTAAAGTCTTTCATCTGTCTTTATATTTTCAATTCATCACATCTATCTTTGAAAATTTTTAAATGTTTCATCTATTTTTTTATTAATTTTTCGATCATAAAAAAATTGACCGAAATACTCTTAAATAAAATGCCAAAAAAAAAATTTAAAAGATTTTAAAAATAGAATATAAAATTCATTTGACTTGTAACTTCTTTTTTTTTTTTTTTTTTTGCATTTTGTAAGAGCATTTAGATCAAAAAATTTTATCTATGGTCAAAAAGACAAATTAAAAATTTCAAAAATTGTCAATGACTAATGGAATATAATTAAAAACGAGATAAAAGACTTTGAGTATTATATAATAACAGATAAATATATTTACTTTCACTTTATTTATCCTTCTTGTTAATCAACATAATGGGTCATTCTATCTAAACGAGAAAAAAAAAGAGTCAAATTTGATATTGATAAAGGATGCTTAATACATTCAAAACTTAAATTCCAAATAATTTTTTAGATAAATACACTCATTTGTCCTCATATAATACTCAAAGTCTCTCATATTTCTCTAGATTTCTAATTGTATCATATTTATCTTGAAAGTATTTGAAATATTCAATCTGTCATTCCAATCAATTTTTCTCAGTCAAATAAAAAAGAAATTATTGAAATGCAAAAAAAAAAAAAGATTGAACATATAGGTCATATGACTTTAAGTATTTTTCTTTTCACATTTTAGTAAAGGGCATTTCAGTAAAAAAAATCATGATAAAAAAAATTTGATCGAAAGAACAGATTGAACATTTTAAGTGTTTTAAAGATAAATGAGATGCAATTAAAAATCTAAAAACGAATGAGAAATTATGAATATTATATAAAGATAGATGATATATTTACTCCTTTTTTTGCCATATTTTCTTTATCACAAACCTTAAATTATTTCCTCTTATATACAATGGCTTCTTTTTTTTGTTATTCTTGTTTCTTTTTTCTTTTTTTTTTCAATTTGATTTATTAACCCTAATTTGTTATTGTCTTTAAATATTTTTAGGCTAAGAGCATGAATAAATCGTTGTTATTTATTAATAGGTCCTGGCTTATTCATGACGTTTAGGTGGCTTGAAACAAATAATAAGAGACGAGTATTGTTAATTTTAAAGCCTTTAGCCTTATTCGGTAAAAAAAAAAAAGTGCCAACGTTACTATGTATTAACACCCAATGTTCACTCTTATTATTTTTTTTATTGCAAAAATAACAAAAAAAAAGTGCCAAGCATTAAAAAAAAAAGTTTGAAAATCAACAAAAGAACAATTGAGGGTATAATTACAAAAATCAAAACTTATTTCCTTTAATTAAAATAAAAAAGAGCCACAATTGGAAGAAATAAAAAAAATCCTAATTAGTTGAGATTTAAGGGCCTCATTGAAACAAATAATTGCATCAAACTTAACTCGATGGATTGTGGAGAATTAGGGACCAAAACAAACTTTTGCCGTAAACCTAAAACCTACCAATAAAAACCCCTTCCTTGCAATTTTTATATACCTTCTACTCGTTCATTATCACCTTAAAACAAAACCAACGAAACACTATTCCTCCCTTGCACTCACCCGAAGCTTTCCTCCACAGCGACCACTTTTCCTTCCTCTCTTTTCTTGGAAGAACCACCATAGCCATCCTTCAAGCCTTAACCTCCATATTACTCATTATCACCTTTAGTTATCCCTAGTCGCATCTCTCTTTCTCGAAACTCTCACTCACTTCAAACCATCATCTCCTTTACAAGCTCCCACTAAATCGAAGTTCCCCTCTCTAGTGCTCCCATTCGTAGCTTCATAAGTCGTCATCTTCTTCCTCATATTCGGCTTCAACAACAAAGGAAGAGAAGGAGGTAGCCACAATTCACCTTCCTCCTCCCCTATCTTTAGTTAGAAAAACAAAGATCCCCTAAAACTACATCCTCCATCAAACACCATATTAGTCACTCTCGCACAATAACTCCACCCCCATCGCTCGCGTATACAACTTTAACACAACCTCATCACCCCTACAGCTCTATTTTTGTGCCAACCATTACCCTAAGCAGTCCACGACACATACAACCCCTCCATCGCTCCTTTTGCATGCCCGAGTTACGTGTCGACACGGCATGCTTCCTCGCTTCGGTCGCACACTTAGCTCACAACACACACAACAACCTTCCTTCTTACAACTTTTGTATGACACAACCTTTTTGCGCATGCCTAACTTCATAATAGCCACTCATGTAGCCAAATCGCTTGTAACCCCTTACCTAAGACACCTAATAACACAGACCCTCTCATACGTGGGTAGCCTCACAATGACCCCTCTCGCATGCATACGACACTGTAGCAACCATCTTTCCTTTTCCAAACCTAGCTTTACTAACACTAAACTAAACCAAAAGGCACTTCTTTAATCAGTTTTCCTTATACCTCATCCTTCCTTCAATACCAACTTACCTAACCAGCCAAATACCCCTTGTTCTTTTCCATTTTGTAAGCCATAAAAACTACCTACAAAGCACCAAAAGAAAGAGCCCCTCTAGCCTTTTTGCTTAACACGAGTCGATGGTTGAGATGATTCCAATAAGAATCAATAGTTGAAAAAGGAAAGAAAAAAAATATAGAGAGTTTTAAGGCTGAGAAGCTCTATGGACTTTTGGTTTGGAGAAAAAAGAAAAGGCTTGGGTCTTTTAGTTTGGGAGAAAAATAAAAACTCGAGAGTTTTAAAGAAGAAGTCTTGAGGCGTTAGTTTTATTTTAGAAAGGAGAGTTTTAGGGTCTTGAAGGTTTTACCTAGGTAGTTTATCAAAGAGAGAAGGGTCGGAGGAGTATTCAAAAAGGTTTTGTTCTTGAAAAATGAAAACGAGAGGCTATTGGAGATAAAATCTGTTGATGTTGATGCTTACATAGCCATTACCACATCTAGGATCATTATTTGTTTATTTGGAATCATCAAAATAAAGAAAAACACGCTAGCAACTCGTTGCCAAACCCCTAAATTATAGAAACTTTAGAAATTACTGTAAAATTTATAATAACTTGAACAAGTAGTAACAACCTTGGTTATTTACATCGACTTTGGAAAGATTTTTGGTCACTTTGACAAGAACCTAATAGGTGCATAATTTACATAGCTTTTATGCCCTTTTATATTAAACTTACTAGTGAGTATTATATTATATTAAGGTAAATAAGAATAATATAACAATTTTGGATTTTTATAGGAAAAATGACAAATCGGAGCAAATAAAACCCAAACCAAAGTGCATTAGAAGCCAAAGCCACAAAGGAAGTAAAGAAGTCACATGACCGTGTAACCTATAAAAAGAGAAAGTTATTAACTGTGTGAAACAAAGAAGGAAACCATGTGGATGTTCAGCAAAGAAGACACGTAGGCGTAGTAATCCACACGACTTGAGCGGGAAAAGTGACACACCTATGTGTTTCAAGATTAAGATATCTTCCAAGGAGAAAGAAACGACACATGGGGGTAGAAACTAAAGGACATGATGTGAAAAGCAAATTAGGTAAGATCATGTGCCTCGACCAAGTAAGCTATGTGATATCAACTGTTTAAGACTCTACATTGAGTGAAACAAAAGAGCAAACCATTTAAAATAAAATAATAAGTCGTGTGTCCATATGGGGTTACCATATATGTTTTGTAACCTTACCTTTTGTTATAAATAAATAAGTTAGGGTTTTACTTTATAAATTTTATGGATTTTTTTATTTTTCAGCCACCATAGATAAAAATTCTCTTTTATAAGCAAACCATGTATCACTAAGAATCTTTATTGGTTGAAGAAAAGTTGAAGCCTTTGGCAAAATCATTGTGAGATCTAAACCGGATTTTATCTCTAATCCTATTCTTTTGATTATTTTATATTATTTTATATTATTTGAATGTGATTTATTGATTAAAGTGCATCCTAATTGATTAATCATTATAATCTATTGATAGCTAAGTATTCAAATCCGTAATTGTTTGTCTAAAATTACTTATGATAGTAAGTACGAGTTAATGATTATAAATAGGTTTTTGTTTAATCCCTTGAAAAGCATAAAACTAGAATAAATTCTTTTAGCATCTAAAAGGGTTGTTTAGCTTCACCTATCTTTTTATCATTTAATATTATTGATAGATTAAATCTAGATAGTGTTTACTAGGTTGTTCAATAGTTAAAAATTAGTCAAATAGCATCTATTTGGTTAACAAATTATTAAGAAATGATTGAGGATAATATGTATGTTATTTTACGGTGAATATTCACAATAAGAATAAATTAATGTATGAATCAACAATCAAAGATTGAGCCAAAAGTGAAAAACAACCTTTAACCAAGGTTTTTATTATTATTGTTATTTCTTTATTTACTTTTATCTACCTTTAATATTCTTAACACATAAAAACTTTCCTTTTTACCTTTACTTTGCCTTGAAACAATCGAAAAAAGGATAAGTTGATTGAACCAATTCTCCGTATGATCGAACCTTACTTGCCCTAACTACGGTCTAATGATTAGGACTAGAAAAGAAAAATAAAAATAATTAATTTGTTAACGGCATGACATGTCATTAAATTTTGGTACCGTTGCTAAGGAATTATATTAAAATTGATTATTTCTTAATATTCGATTGTTTCTTTCCTCTAAATATTCTAAAGAAAAAGTCATGGCCAATCTAAACAACGAATCACACTCTCAAAGAATTGGTTGCTCCAAACCCGAATCTTTAACTTTTATGTATTAAATACCTTAATCTTGAGGTAG